CTTTTTTTTTTTTTTTTTTTTCATCGTTTTCAATGTTTAACACGTATGTCGAACGCCACGCTGTTTTTACATGACTAGCTCAAGACGTCAAAACGAATCTGTTATTATACGATGGATATCGTATTGAAGTATCATCTGTAACAGATAAGTTGACGTATATAGGGCGAGTCTCGTAACGTGATGACATCAAATAACTCAATATTTGTTGTACGAAAAAATGTTTCAGATAGAAGTTGCATGGCTTCCAGGGTGACATCAGTTTTATGTTATTTTGCTTTTTTATCAAAATATGAAGGTCACCTTTATAATTTTTTAAATGGAATATTTAATACTTCTTCTCGAATTCGGATAGAGCGTTGAATTCATATATAAAAAAGTATTATACCAAATAGGGTCTAAAATTCATAGTTACTGAGATTAATGATCTTTTCTAATACAATGTAAAGAAATATTTTTGCTAATATCTCAGTAACTATGTATTTCAGACCCTATTTGGTATAATACTTTTTTTATGTACGAATTCAACGCTCTATCCGAATTCGGGAAGGAATATTAACTGTGCCATTTAAAAAATTGAAAGTGACCATCTTGATAAAGAGAGCAAAATAACGTAAAACTGATTAGAATACTACATGTCAACATTTTTTCGTACGACAAATATTTAGTTATTTGATGTCGTCGCGTTACGAGAATTACTCACCCTGTATAACTAATGTTTAATGTTAATTTATTTTCGCTGAAACGCGTTTCTTCGATTTTCATTTTATTTTTTGAGCCGACAACTGCTCCAGATGCAGCAGGAAATTATTCCTCTTAAGTGGACGACCACCGCAAGAACGCTTGAACGCTCCAAGGTACAAAACACTGTCCCCATTGTTGAGAGAGAACTGCGCAGTTCGGGCTAGTTGCAAAGTCGCCGAGCAGAACGTTCCTCGAAGGAGAAATAGAAAAAGCCGCGCTTGGCGATCTTGAGAGAAGCGCTAGTTGCCGCAAGAACAGTTATAATCACCGCGCTCGCCGCAAACGTCGACGTCCGTGCGTCCGGTTGGACAGTTTAGCGTTGTATGGATCTCCTCGCTCTGACAGTTGTCCGCAAACCGTGCCCGATCGCGTTCTCCTTATTGTTAGTCTTGTTCGAGTATGGCACGCCCGTCCGTGTAAACACGAATTTAGCTTCCGCCGACAAGACTGACAAATGGGGCTAATAAATTTCTAAAATGTACAAGACTGACGCTTTTCACTCGTTTATCGTCTGACGTATGCGAAATAAATTTTCAAGAGTTTCCCCGTTGACAAATAGAATCTGCGTATAGTGCAAGAAACGTTGTCGATCGATTGTTGAGAAAAAAAGAGGGGAAAAAAAAAAGAGCAGAAATGAAACTTGGACACCAGCGGAGGGTGAAAAGGGGCGACAATTTCGTTGGTCATTTTATCCCTAACGGTGCCATACATCCACAACGCGACGTCACAATAAAAACTTATACGTCACGGTGACGTTGAAATAGCTTTCGCAAAAGTGGTTAACCAGTGGTCTATTGTGTGGCGTTTTCCAGCACTGTGCAAAAACGCATCGGACCGGAGCGTGCGCTTCTTCACATCGGCTGGCCTGAAACGTCGAGTCCCATCCCGTGAAAGAACGTGGCACCCGAGTCTACTTAAGAGTTCACGTATTTCCTATCCTTTCCATCGCGCGATCGTAGAAATATCGTTCTTAACTGAGTATCGTCACGGTGCACCGTGTTCGACACTCAGCGGTACACTCCTCTCCCCGTTTCAAAAGAAATCGAGTTTCTCTTTGGCATTTACAACGTAGAATCAAAATGCAACTCTTTCTCTCTCTCTCTCTCTCTCTCTCTCTCTCTCTCTGGATTTTCGTTTCGAGCGAACGCGAGTTAAAAATTTGCGCGTCACCCGCCAGGAATTTTCCATTCGTACGTTTAACAATAGTCGCTTCGTCGTGGTTGCATAATGCCTGGAAAAAATACAGCGATCAATGTCATTACGATAATGAGTCAGCGAAGCGAAATTAACAGGATAGAAGATTGTAAACAGAGCCGAGGCAAGTCTACCTTTCAAACTGCGACACTCCTGCTGAAGGAATATTAACGCTCTCAATGACACTATTCAAAACGAATCTTCAACAAGACTCCTAATTAATCAACGGACCGTGCTTGTTTACGAAGGATCGCCGATTCAACCAATTATTACGAAAATTCTCGGTGCCTCGGTTTAAACAATTCCCGCGCGATTCGAATGGTTTTGTCGCGTCCGTTCGCGCCAACTTCCTCGTTCAACGACTCGAGCGTGATTTTACAGGCCTTTTCAGACCAACGCGCAACGCGTTTGAAATTTCTTCGACCGTCGCGTCGAAGAAATCGCGCAAGAATGCCACCATCGGTACCAGCGAGTCTCTCTCTCTCTCTCTCTCTCCCGATCCATCGGAGAATGACTAGTTGTTTACTAGACGCGACATATTTGACGCTGGAAACTTTCCGGGAAATAGCGCGAACTTTAATTAAAACAGGCAGCGTGATACGAACAAGTCTCACTTGTCTTTTTTGTCTCTCGAAAGAGAAGTTGTCGTTGCCTGTTGTTCCGAGCTGTGACGCTCTCTCGAGTCGTTAATTTTGTCCATCGATGACCATAAACGCGCGACAATATATACAATTATTGTCGTGGCCTGAAAATGACGAAAGAAATCAATCGAATAGCGAAATTCCTTGGGAAATGTGTCACGCATTCTCATGATGAGAAAATATATTAATATTAATATTAAATAATAGAAAATATATATTAACACTTGTTATTAATATTAGATTAACAAGTAATATTAGAAAATATATATATACTAAAATATATATATTAATATTAATATAAATTAATTAGAAAATATATTAAATATATTAAATATGTATATTTATTGTAATATATATTAAATATGTATATATATTATAATATATTATAATATATATTAAATATATTAAATAATGTTAGAAAATATATATATTAATATTAATATATTAGACCAGAGCTTCTCAGAAGATACATAAACTAGGAATACTAGGAGTACTAGGAGACTAGGAATTAAAACATTTGCCGATAATAATAAAAATCATAAAAATCATATAGAAAATTTATTCGAAAACAATTCTTTGGTATACATACAAATATCATTTCACCATATATTAAAGACCAAATACGAATTTTTGATAAAATTTCTGCGATCCCCAAACCTCTTTGAGAAGCCCAACGTTAGACTGTCGAAAACAACGTTACTAGTATCGTAGCGAAAATAAGAAATTGTAACTTCGACGGTAACGTGATATCAATTATAACCGATGTTAGAATATAAAATTTCTTCGTTCGAATGACGTCGCGATCCTAGAGTTTCCTAAACACTGAACGTGAACGAATACCTACTAAGAACGATTCTCTCTCTCTCTCCTGAATTCTCATCCTTCGAATGAATTAATCATTCTTGTTGCCGCAGCGATAAACTGGTTGACTGGTTCATTGAATTTTAAAATAACATTCGAACGATTGGCATTGCGCAACAGCACGAGCAAAATTATCGTTCACAGCCTTGGCTTTATTTTAAAGGTGACGTGCAAATGGTTCGCTGAAAGCCCGATAAGTGATTGTAAATGAGTTCTGGTAATTAGAAACCGGTGCATCGTTCTCGCGAGCCACTTAAAAATACGTGTACCGTGTGAACACCAATCGCAGCGTGCTTGCACGTTATTATAAGTTGTAAACTAATTGATTAAAACTTTCTCGCCGATGGTTTCGGAATAAATTTCGGGATAAATTGTGAGAATCATCGATCTATCGGCATGTTCGATTTGTACATTATTTCACGGCAGGAACAACGATCGATTAAACTTCCGTGTGAATTTTTTAAATCACGAACGAAACATTCTAATTACGCTTCCAATAACTACTTCTCCGTTTAATCGGCAGCTCATACGTAAATTTCAAACATTTCCCTCTCTCCCTCCCTCCCCCTTCTTCCCGCCGTTCTCTCTTTCACTTTCGCACAATTTACCCGTGAATTAGCAATTTTATTGAAATATTAAATAAGTTACGGGACCGTGCAACGTAGATTTAGCTTGCGTTTAAAGTTAATACGTTTGAATTCATTTAAACGACCGGCGTATGCCGCTTAAAAAGTTCCTGCCCCATTTATTGTTTGAGATTCCACTTTATGTAGAACTTTCGTTCGCTGATATTTTGTACATTTTTCAGTATTATTCGAGTTAAACGCGATAGCACGCGGTTCTGATAAACAAATGGATAAGTCTGGGACTTGGATATTCTCTGTACATGCACACAGCTATGTGAAAGCGTGTTCGAACACACGTGGACAAATTTTGCGTGTCTATAAGATACATTGAAATTTCATTAGCACTGTAGTGACGCTCGACTCGTCGATATATTAGTTATTTTGAAATAACTCTCAATCTTGTACGATTGCAAAGCAATTAAGGCTAGTATCTGTTTGAAAAAATCAGAAAATTGTTTACTACATTAGTAAACCTTATAGTTATTTCTGACATCAATTTAAATTAATTTACGACTCTTAGTTACGAAGCGCGTAACGTCTTGTAATTCACACATATTTTGTCAGATTTCAGCTTTGACCAATACGATCGCGCAACAGTGTTAATGAAATTACAAAATGTTTCCTACATACATACATACATACATACATACATACAGCATACGAAGTAGTACTATATATAATCGCGGACCAGTGAAAATAAATAAAACAAATCTAGTCCTAAATCAACAATAAATGTATTTCGCGGTAGGAAAATTCATTTACATTCGCGCGGCGATATTTTAGAAAAATATAAAGTATAATCAAGTCAGTCTTTGAATACGGATCCCGTGAGGTAACTTTGGTAATGTAGATATTTCTGCAAGGGGCATTTCGACCGACTGTACCAATTAGACAACGAGTCATACGTCCGTGGCCTCTTCCGCTTATGGAGAAACTCGCACAGATTGCACACCGCCTGCCGAATGCCCCCGTCGACTTCGTAATATCTCTTCCAGGCGAAGTACTCGCCGTACTTCCGCGGATCCTCGATCAGCTTCCCTAAATATTCAGCCAGGCTGTTCGGCGTGTCGAAGTCGAGGGCGTCTATGTAGGAGAGCGGCGGTGCAAAGTGGCTGTAATTGGCGCCGCCGTAAACGATGGGAATTATGTTGTATCTGAAAGCAGAACGGAAATGATAGTGTTTTGCATCCGCTTCCTTTAATCGCCTGGGCGTTCCCTTCAACTCCGAAATGACGAGTATCTATTATAAATAAGGAGTAAATTGAGCGTGGAATTTCAATCGCGTTTCTGTATCGGTCCGGAACCTTCCAGAAATTTCACGGAAATTTTGTTCATTCAGAGAATCGCGAATTTCTCAATTTCACCGTGCAGGTAAACACAATTACTGCAGACTATTTGATTCTAACAATTTTATAACATTTCGTAAACGCAGTGAAGGAAATAAAGTAATGCAAATCTCCAAAGTAACGTAACATCCAATCGTAAAGAAGCGGATGACTCGCTTGCGTAAGTTCATTTCTCTCAACAAGATGATATTTACAACATTTTTCGTTTGCTTTTATTTTCCCGTCGCTTCTCTAATTTACGAAAATAAGAACTGGAAAATAATAACAAAAAAGAAAGAAAAAAAAAAGACTATCACAGAGAACAAAAATATGGTGGAAATGAAACGTACGCGGACAAGCTTGTCGGCAGGATCGGTGCACGGTCACGTGTCGAAACAATTTTATATAGGACGCTGGAAAACTGAAAACGCGGATACGTCAGCCGATTCGAAATCGGTGAACACGAGCTGCGGCTGACAATTTGATCGTCAAAAGATCGTTTCGCCGCGGCCATTGTTTTTACCTGAGGGCATTGTACAGCTTCTCGGTTACGTAATCGTCGCACAGCGAGTTCTCGAACGACAGGTAGAAAAAGTAGTTGGGTTCGGCGACTCGTGCGAAACAATCGTCGCTCGATGGACAATTCATGCTGCCGCATTTCCCGTAAACGTCGATCGGTATGTGCCTGGACAGCTCGTTCACGTACTCCTGCCGGCCGCTTTTTGCCTGGCAGTTGCTTACGAACCAGACGATCGGCTTCGTCTTGCCTCGAATCGTCCTCGACAACGACGACGCGGCGCCCTCGTCAGCGAGCGATCGACCACCTGTGCAAATTGTTGCTCTCGTGAGACGTTCGACGATTTCAACCGAGCGTCGTATAGATAATACTACTGTATAACTCGACGACTGCTTCCATTCAGACAAATTATTTTCACTTTAATTTTCACCTTTCGTTTATTCATTATTTAATTTATGATTAAATATATAATTTAATTCATAATTTGATTTATTCGTTATTCAAATATGAATTCTCATGCGGAAAAGAAAAAGTGACAAGAATTCCTGCTAAAATAAATCCGCAACTTTTTTTTTATTATATGTTTTCTTCAACATTTAAAACGTAATGAAAAAAGTCTGAACTTAAGCTTAATTTCAAATTAATAAGATTAGTTTCTTCTTGCATTTTGATGTTTTATTAAAAAAAAAAAAAAACAGATGGGAAGAAACTTTCATATAATAGTACAGATAGATGATAAGTGAGACGAAGGTAGGATACATAAATATATAAGAGTAACTAAGATAGATAAACATAGCAGAATTGTGGAAGTATCCTCTGTTTGCAAATTAGTGTTTACGTAGTATCATGTGTAGCGCCGATGAAATTTACGTTAATGGATTAATAACATATTGCTCGAGAATTTTGCTTTTAATGCGAATATCTAGCGAGCAATATGCCCGAACAAATATTAAAGAGAATCGAGGAACAAAATAAGTTTCTATTTTTCAATACAGTCTATTGCAAATGATCCGATGGCAAGTCTTTCTTAATTATTTCCACGAATTTCTACGAAAGCATTCTCAATTAGTCCGAAAATTTGTTCCTTCCTTTAACTTTAAAAATCGCGAGATATTTTTTGGAACCAATGTTTATCTACGTATTCACGAATCGTAGAATCGAGGAATCAACAATCCTCGGTTGTGGAAAATTTATTAAAACGTACGCGAACCGAACCAAACGTGACCTGGCTAACAAGAAGCGGCAGAGTTGCAGAAACGGGGGACAGCTAATTTGCAACGGTTAATAAAGTCATCGGCGACACTTTAATTAGCACGTGCGAGCCCTGCACGTTACGCAACGACGATTACGCAGAGAAATTGTTACAGTCTACGACTGTCCTTCGCGACTTCCCAACCTTTTCTCCGTTTCTATTAACGTAACGCTCGCCTTTTTCGATTCCCCGGGGGAACACGTGTATTTAATGACGATCAGCGTGTTGGGGGGGGAGGGGCACGCGACACATGATTAAAAAGTCAAAACTCGCGATTACACGCCCCCTCACTGTTCGATCTCGTTAGAGTTTTAACAATTCCACCATAGTCCCTCCTTTATTTTTCGTTCTGCAGCAAGACACGTTTCCCCCGGCTGTTCCCCGGTCGCATACGAAGAAACAGCTCGCCGCGGAAACGTTTTTGCCGCTCGTTTCGCGCGGGTGCGCAACCACGAAAGAACAGCGACCCGTGTCTCGTGTTGCGACAGCAAATGGCCGGGTTCTTTGTCGCACCGTAGGCAAAAGCAACGCGGAGAGAACCGAGATTAATTACGCACCGCGACGATTATGAAGCACGCGGGACAAGATGACGCGCCATCCACAAGGCAACCGCAATGGTGAAACACGTTCTCGTGTTGTTCTAAATACGGAGACAATCAAAATTGATATTCGAACTCGTCGCGTCGAAATTTCCTCCTCTTGCCAGTCTAAATCGAATCGAAATATATTGATTTACAAGAGCGTCGTTTCTTGCCGATCGAATGAAAGTATCGAGATTGTCGTCGAAATTACGTCGAGAATAAAATTGATATACTATACGAAATCGTTACTTCGAAATTTCCTTTCCTCCTTTGCAATCAACACTAACGATGAACGCAAATGAAAATAGACTGATTTATAAAAGAAGTCATTTCGAGATTATCGTCAAAGTTGTATGATTTGTTAGACCAAAATTCAGACATAAGAATTTCCTCCTCTTTTGTAATAGACACTAACAAGCCCAAATGAAAATATATTGGTTTATAAAAGAAACATTTCTCCGATTATATAAAAGTTTATCGAGATTATCGTCGAGGTTATCTTATCTCTGTTAAATTAATATCGACTTAAGAATTCCTTGCTTTAAAATTCCCTCCATTTTTGTAACTGTTGGTGGAAAAGGGGATAAAAATTCAGCTTGAACACGATGTCCTCTTCCTCTTGCGTTGTTGTGAATTGTCTCTGCCTCCTGCATTCTGCAGCAATATGATCTACTTCATTGCAATTAAAGCATCTTTGTCTTGCATGACACTGGTCTGCAAAGTGACCTCTCTTATCACGTTTAAAACAGTTCACATTATTCCTTGCGCTCTCTCCTACTTTCCTCACACTTTCATTATCTCTTTCAACATGCCCTTTTTCTCGTCTCAATTCGTTTTGCTTTAATGCGTACCTCATATCATTTATTGTCATGTTGGTTTGGCTCTTCAACATCCTAACGTTCGGTTCAAATTCTTAGTCCTCTCAAAATAAACATCTTCAGTTCAAATCCTTCGATGTCCTTTCCTAACTGCCGACATTTGTTTCTCAATCTCTCAGCTCTGTTTATATGTTCATCAACGATTTCATCCTTCTTCATCTTGAGGTTGGTAAGATCACTCAGGTATCTGGTTTTTAACTGTTCCGTTTCCACCGCCATGTCGTTTTTTATCGCATTCCATAATTTTTCTGCATTTCTTTCGTGGCTGTATTTCAGCAAATGGGCCTCGGTCATAGTATTCAGCATGAATGTTCGTCCCAATCGTTCCATATTTGGAATTTTCTTGCCTATTCCGCTTCTCCGGTCAATGGTTTTTCAGATGGTTTTACTGCCATTATCTTTCTCCATAATTTTTTGGATCGAAGTATTCCCTCTACCTTTTCTCGCCACAAAAAATAATTTCTGTCGTTTAACGACTCAACGCCGGCAATATTCCAGTTGTCCGCCATTACGTCGCACGTCGTTGCTTTCCCGTTGTCTTATTATTTTTCACTTCTCTTTGAACCAACTATCTAACCACGCTTCTTATCTCTCTGTTTTAATTAATTCACACTTCTCTCTAAGCCAACTAATCTACTGACTGACTTGCTAATTATCTAACTAACTAACTATGAAACCTACTGATCAACCACGGACCTCTGCTACCATTTGTTGGTGGAAAAGGGGATAAAAATTCAGCTTTCTTTTACTCTTCCGCTCGAATCACTATCACTGTTTCACTCGAATTACTATCTCTTTCCAGCTCGCTATTCCTCTTTTAGTCTTATCCCCATTACTACTCATTGCTCACTCGCTATTTCTCTCTCACTCACTCATGTCAATAATAATTAACTTCTCACAGTAACCAACAATAACAGATCCAAATGAAAATATATTGGCGAATCATTTCTACGATTATATAAAAGTTGCGTCGTCAAGGTTATTTTATCTGTTAAATTAAAATTGACATAAGAATTCGTTGCTTTAAAATTTTCTCCTCTTTTGTAACATTGGTTTATAAAAGAATCATTTCTCTGATTATATAAAAGTTTCGACATTGTTGTCGAGGTTATGTTATCTCTTAAATTAAATTTATTGATTATATATGTTCAAATCAAATTTAATTGACATAAGAATTCGTTACTTTAAAATTTCCTCCTCTTTTATAACCAACGTTAACAAATCCAAATGAAAATACGTCGTTTCATAAAAGCTTTGTCTCACCGATCGAATAAAAATCTCGTCGATTGTCGTCGACAGTTACCTGACCGATTGTAAAACGCGTCCCAATTCGCGTTTCTGCTAGGTGCGACGATTTCGCCGGTGTGGGAATCCTTAACGATTCCGTAGGTCCACACGATGTCGCTGTCCAATCTGTACGTCATCGTGACGTTAAAGAAGTCCTCGTAAAAGTAGCTGGTCAGCGGTCTGTTGGCCGGACTTTCCAGATTCACGAAAACGTACCACTGCCGCGGTGACCTACTCCTCGGCAGATCGGTGAACTCGAGCTCGTTACCGTGAAACAGGACCGCGTCGAAGTCCATCAGATTCGCGTAGCTCCTGTCGTGCGTCGCGTAACAATCGTTTACGGGACAGTCGTGGAATATGTCGCCCTTGCCCATGTAAAACGTCTCGTCGTTGAACATGGTGTTCCAGAACAGGATCTTCTTCGTCGTGTTCCTCACTCGCGCGTCGCCATTGATGATCCGCCTGAAGTGGAGGATGTCGTCGATCTTCCAGTTGAAATAGAAGGACAGAACGTAGAGGGTGAACGTGAAGATCGTGACGGCGATCAGGCTGACTTTCACGAACATCCATAATTTCATATCGGTTCCTCTTTTGGTTCTATCTCTATGTATCGTCCGACGAAACCCTGCACTACGATTTTCATTGAAGATTCATTTCTCAGTTCTTCCTTTTATCATCAAGCGCGATTAAGTGTTATTAAGCGTCATTAAGTACCACTAAGACGATCTCCTGGTCCTATTATCTTGATGGAAATTACGTTTGTCGCGAGCTGGATAATGCGAACTTGAATTGCTCTCGGCGATGACTTGAACGAGACAACACACAACAGGAAACGTCGCTCACAGAGGCAGATTTCGATCTCTCTCGCTCTCTCTCTCTCTCTCTGTCTGTCTCGGGTCTTAATTTGCTATGAAAAGGATTCGCAGCGAACAGAAGGCTGACGAGCAGAAGTTAACGAATGTCGGCCGAGTGTTACGTGAAAATTGAAAATGCTCGTAACAATAATTCACAAAGAGCTCCGAAAGAGAGATAATGATTCGTTACCGCCAGACCTGTCCAATTTCTTCCCCTCCTCCGGCCAAGCGAATTTGACACTCGATCAACCGTTTCCCCCTCTTCTTTCTCTCCAGGCCCTAACCACGATTATCATCGTTTTCTTTTTTTTTTTATTGAATAGTACACCATTCGCATTTGTGACATATGCATATTCAAACGTAGTCGACCGTGGATCGATTCTTCTTTAATAAGGAAACGTTGAACACTTCCTTCTGACGTGCGACTTTGGACTTCGTTCAGGCAATTCGAAGAAACGCGAAACTGAAAAAATTATAGCTCTTGTAGCTGTTGTAGATAGGCAGTAAATTAGATATGCAAAAATAGAATCGACAAAGCATCGCGAATGTGTCGTGCGAATGTGTCGCAAATCATATCGTTGACACATGGAGAGAATTGAAATTTTTCCAAGTCCAAAGTTCACTGTGAGTCCGAGTCGAATGGCGACAAGTTCCATAATCGACGCACATAGTCGGTGCAACACATAGAGTCAACCAAAAATTTCACAATCCTTTTCTAAATCATCTTCAGAGTCAAATCTTTCTCTCCGGTCTCTTCCGTCCATCAGTTCGTGTTTCAACTGATTTCGACAGCTGCGCAAAGTTCAAGGTTCACGCCGTGAACACTGCACTCGCGACCGAGTCCGCGAGTCGCGGGAATTTCGTCGACGTAGACGCGACTGTGCGACGGAACGCGTCGAACTACGCAGAGAAAAAAAAGTGAGACTCCGTTTCCGGCGTAGGATCGATGATGGAACGAATCGATAAAGCCGGTGATTGATGGCGCACCATTGCCGCGACGCGTCGAGCATGGAATCCGAATATAGGGCACAGATGTTCGACGAAGGAATTTGTCGCCGTTCGCAACGTTTTACTCTTTGAAAGAGTCTCGCGAACTTCGCGCATCTCGGCTGTCCTATTTTCTTCCCTCGGCGCACCTTTTTCGTTACGTTTCTCAATCAATAATCGCCACCAAGTCGCCGCTCCGGCTATCTGGCGACAGTTCCCTCCCGATTTTACTTCAGCGTCTCTCTTGCTTCTTGATCTTGAACGTTGATCGATGAATCCGGTGAGACGATAGCTGATCGCGAACGAAACGATCGAGCAGGCTTCGGGGCGATCGAACGAGTCGGCGGGTAAATACTTGAAAGGCGCGTTAGGGTCGGCGAGGAAAGGTAAAAAGCACAGGTATCGTGCATCGCGCGACTGCCGGGTCTGTCAGCAGTTCTAAGTCGACTGGTCAAATGCAATGTGCACGCTGTAATGTCTACGCTAGTTTCAGAGAAGAAGGCATCGGTGGGGGGAACTGTCGATGAGTTGAAATATCAGCAACAGCGAACTGTTCTATCGTATTTTTAAAGCTGATCGATCTATGTCTGTTATCGCTGCATTTCATTACTCTAATTTAATACTGAGGCGAAGAAGGAAAGAAGGATATATGGAAGAGACTAAACGAAAAGCCTTTTAGGAAAACCGTTTCTTTTATTTATTTATTTTTTTCCTTTTCAGAGAGAGAGAGAGAGAAAGAGAGAGAATATCGTAAACTGTAATAAATTATTGCGATTGTCTATTATATCCAGCGTAAATCTGGAACTGTAACGGGCTTGTTTGCGGGAAAGCGAAACGCTTGGCGGATCACGAAGGTCACTGCAGAATAGAAGTTGATTGCGTTGCATCCGCCTACACTGTTTCCTCTGTTCCCATGAAATTTGTCGTCGGATACTTTTCCCCCGCTATCTCTCGCGAACACGTGCACTCACTTTGACTCCTATCTCTGACGAATATAAAATCATCCATCCCATTCTGCCCTCTATTCTTTACAATTAGTCACCAATATCTTCTGTCCTTTCTTTTCCAGACTTCCCAACTCTCTCGAGCAATATACGTGTATAATGAATCGAAACAATGCTAAAACACCTATTTTAGTTCTCTTGCTTAATATCTTTGATAAGAACAAATGCGACGTTAACAAAACTCTGTGTCCACGAATAATTTGTCACATGAGTAATGCGCGAGATAACAATAACGAGTTTTCGGTATAATATAAAAATTTAAGAAAAATATTGACATGTGATTTGCAGCTCTACTGTACTTACAAAAGTATATTTTGCCATTTTTCTAACGACACTGCGCCGAATTTTCGACTCTCGACATTTTACATCTCTTGTGTTGTTACTGCATAACTCGTCGTTGGAAAATCGTTACTTTTGTACGGGGTGAAACAGATTTTCTTAATATGCCATTCGTTGCCACGAAAATATCGCCAAGAGACTAGGTGGGTGCCAATATTTTTCTGACTCCCGACTGTAAACAGGGGCGAAAAATACGAAAGCAAGAGAGAGATTTCTCCGAAGCACAAGTCCGATTGTAACCACTGCTCGAGCTACCACGTTGCTCGAGCACAATAAACAGTTTTGCTGGCAAAACCGTTGTCGCAGCCCAGCGTGATGCCGACGACCCACACAATTCCGACGTTGTGACACCAACATAAGGGAAGATAAGATTCATTTATCGCGTTATTACAGCGAAACGATTCGTTTCCGGATGTAAAGTGTCGAAAGGGGACGAAAGGAAACGTTCGAAATACGAAAGATACTCGCGTGACAAGAGCCAAGTGGAGCCTGCCAGATTTTATCGACAGATCGCCGGCGAAATTGAAACTTATATAGCCGCGCGTTCGCTCGCGAGTGACACAGATCGCTCGATTAAGAGGCTTTTCTCGAGAAAATGGAGCGACTTAGTGCAACTTCGCTCCTTGCATCACTCGATGGTAAAACTTGGCCGTTCACAATCGGCACTTGAACGACACGCCGCAACTTCCACCGGGCCGGAATGAAACGGAAGACGGTGAATCACGTGCGTCCGATGTCGTGATTTACGAATGGAACTTCTGCCGGTGACTCGCTTTAACGATCATCTGCGCGAGACTTCTCCGAGTTTATCAAATACCAACTGAAATCTCGCCGAGAATCACGGCGCGTAGATATACTCGAACATTTTTCTTCGCGTTTCTCCGATGAAATAAACGCCGGAACTACCAAAATGGTCAAAATGACCATTTGAATATTTTGTAGATACGAAACGGCATATTTTTGGGAACTCGAGTGATTCTTCGTTGAGCTTGTGTATCCGATTGTATTGTAAAAATTATCTTTTACTTGGACGTCTCTAATGGAAATTTTATGCATTAATAGTTAAAAGCTCGTTACTTTCGGAAATGGTCAAAATGACCATTTCAATATTTTTGTTAAATATAAAAATATATTAATATTATTAATTATTAATATAATAATGTATTAATATTATATTAATATTTTATAAATATAAAACAACGTATTTTTGGAGACTTGAACGATTCTTTGTTAATCTTGTGTACCCTATTGCATTACAAAGATTTTCTGTTTCTTCGACTTTAACGTCTCCGATCGAAATTTCATACATTAATTATCTATAGTTGAAAGCTCGTTCCTTTTGGAAATGGTCAAAATGACCATTTCAATATTTTTGTTAAATATAAAAATATATTAATATCATTAATTATTAATTGTTAATATATTAATGTATTAATATTTTATAGATACAAAACAATGTATTTTTGGAGTTAAACGATTCTTTATTAATCTTGTGTACCCTATTGCATTACAAAGATTTTCTGTTTCTTCTACTTTAACGTCTCCGATGGAAATTTTATGCATTTGTTGTCGATAGTTCTCCTTTCTTTCGGAAATATATCGAGGACTGTCAGCCGATGCGGGATTGAGTCTGGAGTGGAATTCAGAAAAGAGTGCAAAGGGCAAGGCCAAATCGGCAAGCCCGCGACATCGAACAGCGATGCGACGCCCCGTGATTAATTCTTCTCGTTAATCAACGCCCCCGATCCATCATCGCGGTATCTATGACGCGGTTATTCTTCGACGCGGCCCGGAACGCCGCGAAATCAATCATAATCGGAGTTTAAGAGGGTGGCTGCGACTTTATGAAGTCTCGCCGAGGGTTCGCCTGCGCGGATTTATCGCGCCATTATGATCCATACAAACGCGTCGTTGCATAGCTGCCTAACGACGTGTCACGCGAACGTGATTTTTGTCTTTGCAATTATATTTCGCCGTGGTAACTGAATAACTTAACCCAGACGCTTCCCGTACGCTTGTACCGCGAATTTTTATGTATTTATGGAACGAAAGGAAATGCATGTTACATAACATGCAGAATTATGTAAAGCATAGCGTTCGTTATAATGTCAAAACGAGTTTTTTTTTTTTTTCATTCTTTTTCTTTGATTACGTTCGTCGAAATACGAATTTGTATAAACATTCACGGCTGTATATACAACGATATTTTATCAATGAAACTCTGTGCTGGAACGAAATATGAAACGAAATAAAACAGTAGGCGTATGCATTAAATTTTATTACATAAGATAAATGATGTACTAACGAACGAGATAATTCAAATTTAAAGGTTATTTCGTTACAGCATTCGATTAGAGACTCTCTAGATATGTACGTAATACACTAACGATAGTAATGTCTACGATATCAAAAATATTCAAAGAAAAGGCATGAATGTATTTCAAATGGATCAATATTATGTATATCAATATTATTAATGTATCAATATAAACGGATAGTGTAATTGCTAATAACCGTGTTATTTTTAAAACCAAAGTGGATTCACCCGACGATCGTAATCGAACCAATCTACCAATGTCTAAAATTATCTCTCTGAGATCGAAATTGATAGGGGGAAGGGGTAGGGGCAAGAAAAAAAAGGAGAGTGAATTGACAGTTAATAGAATTTTCTATCTTTGCAGCCTTGTCCGATCAACCGATGTTTGCTGAGCCAATACCGAACGTCACGGTGCCACTGGGGAGAGACGTCAGCTTACCCTGCGTCGTCGAAAACCTCGGTAATTACAAGGTAATTAAATCGAAGAGTCTATGCCATGTCGTTCCGCACGGTTTTCGAGTTTCGAGCTCACAATCAGATAATACACGCCTCTGCACAAGTAGTACAACTCGAAGGCCGATCGTTCTCGAAACTTTCTCTACAATCGAAAGAGAATTCGAATCGAACGTTCGAGTGAAATTTGAACAATTCTCTTCCCTCTCCTCACCGCCCAAACCTCTACCACTGCTCCTGCTCCGAAATTATCGTTTCAAGCGCGACGTAAATTTTCTTCGATAGTCCCCTCGTCGTCAAAAGTTTAACCTTGATTACGTATCGTGGATCACTTTTCAGTAGAAACTAAAGAGATGAAACACCAAGGTCGGGAAAAAAAAAATTCGAAACGTGATAAAAATCGTGATATATATCAGCTTTTAGGCCGTGCCAGATCATGGGTTAACCTAGTTCGCGAGGAACAACGTGGAACAAGGTTAAAAAAATTTCCCGAGGTTGTTGGCGCGCGCCAGGGGGCGAGTAGCCTCGACGTATGCTTGAAAATAACGCGCACGCAGCCCACACGATCGAAATTTTCCACAAAATGAAAGCTATCTCGCGGGAAAGTTTGCGGGCGGACCCGGTTTGCAAGGCACCGTTTACGTAAGCGTCACGTCCGTGGCTCCATTATTACGCAATGTCGTTGGTAAATAATAAATGCGGCCGCAGACGTTGTAATGCCGAGGCGTCCTAAAATATTTACGCTATCTGCTGCCGATGTATCGATTCCCCTTCTGCGGCCCGTCCACGAATATTTCATATTTCGCGAGAAGGCGAGATATCCGCTGGAACGTTTTGTCGTGTGGCGGGCGTGCACGCTCGAAATCCTTTTATTGGAGGCGATTTTAATGGAACGACGCGCACGAAGGATCTCGCCCAACTGCGAGCCTGTGTATGTGTATACAGGAGAGCCGTTTTCAAAACCGAATAAACACGTGTCACCGCGCCGAGTGTGCCGGGTTTTCAAACGATGCTCTTCTCGACGGACGACTTTCGATTCCTGGCTCCTGCCCCGTGAAATTTTATTAACGCTTCCACTTTCGACCGCGATTACGAGAGATCAAAATGAATTCGTGATTCAGCGAAGATGGTAGACAACCCCTTAAAACTTCTACCGTGCGATTTTTTTGTCGCCAATTTACTGAATTTTGAACATCAGACAAAAATGTTACAATTTTCGTCATACGAGCTTAATGTTCAAAGTTCAATAAAGTGGTGAAAAAAAAATCATGCGTCAGAAATCGTTGTAAAGAAGAGGCTTCAATCTTCAATTTCATCGTAGATTCAGTCACGAAAAAAAATTGTTCAATATTCTTACATAGTATGGCAACTCAGCGTTTTTGAGAAGAAAGTGTCTTCACTCATCCAACCGCTGCGTCATGTGAAAGCAGTTTAGAATAAAATGAACGAAGCTCTTCGAAAGTAGAGGCTTCAAATTGTAAAATGAATCCAAGTTTGTTGTTGTACGATTTTTTTTTTTTTTTACAAAATTACAACAGTTTGAGTATTTAAGTGTTCGAATGTTAATCGAGAGTCAATGTAAATACATAATGTTATAGATTGCAAAGATGTAATTTGAGTATAACACTATCGAATTTGTCACATGCTCGTGAAAGTATCGTGTGTGTTCTAGAATTTCGTTAACAGCAATATAATAATATTAGTAAAATTTAAAATAAATCCGAGAAATATACGTACACATTTTTGAAAAACGCTTGAGAGATAAAGTGATACATATACATAAGTTTACATTCGTACAAATTTTTGTAGTTTCGTTGTTAGTCGTGAATTGACTTGAATTTGAACCCAGGTGAATCAATTTTCCAATTCTCTTAACTCTTAAAAATAACACGTCGCTCTCCAAAATTTTACAAGGTACGCTATTTCTCCATTATTACCGCTGATAATTTCGTTCTAATTTCCAGACGAAAGTGATTCGATTATTTAAAGACGACCCACATTAGAAAACCAATATCAATAAGGACAAAAGTAGAAACACTCGCGTTGGCTGGCGATCGCGGGAAAGGAGGATCGAGAACAAAGAGAAAGTGGAACGAAAACGATTGCCGCGCGTGTGAAAATCCGCGTGGAAAGAAACCGAGCGACGTAGTAATGAAGGAGATTGAAAAGAAAAAAGAAAAAACGTGCGAGAGAGGGAGAGGGAAAAGCGCGGGATTACGAGGAACGTTTGCATCGGCGTACGCGATCGCGCGATCGGTATAATATCCTGTAGGGCGAAAAGCGTGTTCCACATTATTCTACCATCGACCAGTTTCGCGGCCGTAAATCACGAAACGAGGAGAAAGAGAGCAAAAGGTCCAGCCTTTTGTTGAACAGAGAGACAGCGTGCAAAAGGGGAACGTAACGTTGCGTGGGTGGCTGGCTCACTCACACCTCTCTCGTTCTCTCGTTGCCTCTGTCGATTCTCCTCGGCGTTCAATTACCTCCGCTGCATCGAAGGATCTCCCGGCGTTATTAGCATTATCGCGATTCCGACGAACGCTTCCTCCGTCGTTGGCTGGCGTGTCGGTAATTTCCGTCGGTTCTTTTCCACCGCAATCTCCACGGGTCCACGGGCGGATTCTTCGGGCGTTATCTCGGAGCGAGGCGATACCAGCATCGAACCACATTTGTACACCGATACAACGGGGGATGCACCTTCCTGTTTACCGCAACACGCGATTCTCCAACGATTTTCGCGTTGAACGGCCACGTAGTTTTTCTTTAGCAGTCGATTGCCGTTATAACGTGATTTTACACTTTGTAAATTCTTCGGAAGAAGTTGTTGTTGGTCTCTGGTAAAAAAAAAAAAAAAAAGTTGAGAACTGTCGGGAAGATCCATGGACCATATCTTCGAATATCCGTGGAACGGAATTATTACTCGTAACTTGAAGAAATATTTCTGTTCAGACTCATGGTCCGGGCTCGATTGATGATCAATAACGAGGCTATATGTTTATATAATTTTTATTGCAGTGAAACTGCACAGAGTCTTGTCTGGCTCGCGTTTATGATAAGTCAGACTTTGATGTGAAGACTATCATGATTCACTACGGAAAAACTATTCTTTGCTAACGACGGAGACCATTCTCGTTTAACAACTATAAAAACTATGCCCACTAGTTCGTTCTGGCGATGTTGACGTTTCTCGAATACTTCGTTATCGGAAAACAAGCTCGCGATTCTCTTGACATACGCGGATGGACAACAATATGTGTTGTCTTGATTTTGGAGATCTTGACCTAGTAAAACAGGGCGTTTTTGTATTTAAATTGCCTAAATCATGACTCAGAGCTCGGGAGTGTTTGATACATTCTTACGCTAACAATTTCAATATTTCGATATTTTTGTACGTTATCGAAGGCCGTAAACACTCCCTGCATATTTCACGACACGACTACGTTCTGCAAACATTTGCAAAGCGATTAACAAATAAAGCAGCCACGACGAAAGTTCGTGAAATTAAGAGACAACGGTATCAACGGTAGCAATGGACCACAATACGCGGCGTTATCGGACCTCAAATTATTTAGAATCCCCCGTGAAACATACGTACATAATGAGAAAATCCGTCTGGCCAGCTGGCTCGAATTGAATGTAAATAAAAATCGCAGTCGATCCCTTTTATACATGGCTCGACCCGCGCGAAATATTTACCAGCACTCTGGAACGTCGCGCCGCCCGAGCCTCTGTTTCATTCAAAATTTAATCCGAACCAACGCCGGTCACCGAACCGGATCCTCCCCCTTTCTCTCTCTCTCTCTCTCTCTCTCTCTCTCTCTCTCTCTCTCTTTCTCTCTCCCTCCCTCCCTCCTTTGCACAGTCTTCGTTCCACGTATATTTCTTCCTGAAATTTTCCAATCTTAACGTCTCTCCTGCATACATCGTGAAGCATCGACTGTAACCTAACCTCGAACCTATCTATACACGTAACGCAAGAAAATATCGTTCCTCCCCACGGTAATCTTTCCTCCGCGGGCGGAATATCAAGAGGGCGCGGTTCTCCGACAAAGGTCCCGCGATTTATTCGGCAGTTTCTCAGCCTACGATGGCTCGTTCCATTCGATCCGTCTCGTGGATGGTCGCTGGATGGCCCCGCCGATATGTTTGTTCGCGTGTATGGTTGTTCGACGATCGGGCCGCGGGCTGCCCTCGTAGCTACGAGCCCCATCGAGCACCTCCAACAAAACGACTGATGCGTTTCCAATAGCGGCCGCGGTGGCGATTGCACAAAGATGGCACTTCCTGTATCTATACGCGTCTCCCAACGTGTCCTCTCGTCGGAGATTTCGTCGACTGGACGAAGTACACTGTCTGTTTCTCTACAAATAATTTCCAAGTGTCACACGCCTGTCAGACGATGCAAATTTGACGCGCTTTGTTAAGGAGTGAAATTAACACCGATGGGACGAAATTTTTTTAGCAACTCTATAAATTCAATGATCTTCGTTCTATAGAACAGAGGCGGTAAATTTCTTCACTGCTCGCTCTGAATCTGCCGGTTTCTCTCTTCATCGGTGAAAATTAGTTGTTTTCCATTAACTGGAAACACACGCGCTACAGCAGACCATTTACAAATTTTTATTACTTTCTTAACTTTGGCAGCTAAAAAGCTAAAGAAAACAATTTATACATATCTAACGCCGCGACACTCTGAACGCAGTGGAGGGGATAGCGCTAGCGGTTGGAAGTGGGGGGCAAGGGCCGCCAGTTAGCCACTTCTATTCTATCGATTAACAATTTCTTAATAATTCTATGTTCTAAGCGACTTCGACTTCGAAATGTGGCATAGTGTAACAAAATTCCCGACCTGACGAGGCAACGACGATTCCAAGAACGAGAAGCTTCTCTCGTAAAACGCCAGGGGAACGTGAGGAAGACAGATAACGGAACACGACGAAGGAAATCGTGAAACGACGCGTAGCCTCGGCCACGATCCCGTTATCACAAAGAATTTCACGCTACGAATTACGTGGCTG